AAATATTGGGTTTTAGTTGTAGGTGGACACAATAACTTTATATTTTATTTGTTTATTTTTATGTGGTGCTGAGGATTGAACACAATGCCTCACATGTGCTAGGCAAGCACTCTACCACTGAGTCACAACCCCAGTCCCATGGTTTAATTTGTAATTATTTTAGAATTTTGCAGCTTTCCTTTATTGATTTCTGCTTTAATTTCACCATAATCTTAAAAGATTTTTATATGATTTCTATTCCTTTAAACTTGTTAAGGTATATTTTTTCTTGACCAGATTATGACCTATCTTAGTGAATACTACAGATGAGCTTCTAAAGAATGTATATTTTGCCTTTGTTGGACAAAGTATTACACAAATGTCAATAAGACACAGTTGACTGATGGTACTATTTTATTCAGCCACATCCATACTGCTTTTCCACCTGCTGGGTCTGTCAATTCCAAAGAGAGGGGAGTTGAAGTATACATCTGTATTTGTGGATTTGTCTATTTCCCCTTGTTACTCATATGTTTTAACATTCCCATTTATTATATAATGTCCCTATTTATTCCTCACACTTTTCCTTCTTTGCTTTGTCTGAATTGAATATATCTACTGCAGCTTTCTTTCAATTAACATTACCAAGCTATATCTTTTACAGTACATCCCTGTACTGTAATATAACTATGTCTCTATGTTTAATATAGATTTCTTGTAAAAAAAAAGGGTCTGTGCCATCTAATTGGCATTTTAAACCATTTGTACTTCAGCAGTTATTTGTACAGATGAATTAATATCTCACATATTTCTAATTATTGTCTATGAATTACCCTATTCTTTCTCTATTTTTCCTCCACTCTTTTTCTGCCTTCTCTGGGTTTAACTGAGTGTTCTTTGATTCTGTTTTCTTTCTTCTCTTACATATCAATTATACTTCTTAGTTTGATTTTTTGGTGGTTTCTCTGAAGTTTGCTATATGTATTATAATCTAACCCACTTTCAAATAACTCTATACCATTTCTCAGATAAATACTCATGACAGATTGTTTTCAATTTTTCTTTACTTTCCATAATAATATTACTGTCAGTCATTCACTTATCTATAAAATATAATCATTCAATAGATTGTTGCTAGTAACAGACTGATATCTATTAGATCAAATAAGAAAAAGAAAAATAAGGAATTTTATGTTATCTTCATTATTCTTTCTCTGATGTTTGTCCTTTATGTAACTGAAGAAATTAGCTGTTGAACCAGGCACAGTGGTGCACGTGTATAATCCCAGCAGCTCCCAAGGCTGAGGCAGGAGGATCACAAGTTCAAAGCCAGCCTCAGCAAAAGCAAAGCACTAAGCAACTCAGTGAGACCCCCGTCTCTAAATAAAATACAAACAAGGGCTGGGGATGTGGCTCAGGGGTTGAGTTCAATCCCCAGTGCCCCCCACCAAAAATAAGCTGCCAAAGTATATCAGTTTTTTCTTCTCTGAAGAACATCCTTTAATATTTCGTGTAAGGTAGTTATACTAGTGACAAATTCCCTCAATTTTTGTTATTAAAGACAAAGAAAGTCTTTATTTCTCCTTCATTTTTTTTTTTTTTGACACAGGCATGCTCTATGTCTGAGCTATATCCCCAGCCCATTTTATTTTATTTGGAGACTGGGTCTCACTAAGTCGAAGAGGCTAACCTTGAATTTGCCATCCTCCTGCCTCAGTTTCCCCAGTCACTGGGATTACAGGCATGCACCTCCTACTCCTATACTTAAACCAGGATGGCAGTCACATAGATGTGTGATATGTGTGTGTGTGTGTGTGTGTGTGTTAAAGATGGTCAAGCTGTCCATTTACAGTATAAATTCTATTTCTATTTAGCAGAAAAACAAGAGTAGAAACTGGGGAAAAAACTATCATTATTGCTTGCATTTTTTAAATCCCTTCATTGTAGAGACAAGCTCACAGAGAAACAGACTGTCTCTTGGAGGCCATCAGCAAAACTGGCCCTTCAATTGTCACCAGAAGCCTTGCATTGTCCCAGGGAGAACTATGAAGCACCTTAAATCTTAATGCAGAGGAATATCTTCTTGCCTTCATTAATCCAAGTGGGTATGGTAAACCAGAGATGTGTTTTGGAGGCTTCTTGACTTTGAGGTGTGGAGATAAATGGGTTAAGGGAGGGGCAGAGAAAAGCATTTCTGGGTGGTACATGCCCTGTTGCTTGTTCCTGTGGGTGTAACTTGGGAGGCAGGTAGTTTGGTGAATGCAGTTTTGGGGAGATGAGCAGAAGTAGGTGATGCAGGTATTTTTTTTATTTGTTTATTTTTATGTGGTGCTGAGGATTGAATCCAGAGTCTCACACATGCTAGGCAAGTGCTCTACCACTGAGCTATAGCCCCAGCCCAAAGTAGCTATTTTGGTGGGACTGTGACTCTGGGTATGAGCAGTATTGCCAAAGTTGTAATCAAGGCCAGATAGTTTCGCTCAACTCTCTCACCTCCTTTCTAAACCCTGGAGATTGGTAGTTTAGAGCATTAGGACACAGCACCCTTGGTTTGGACACTGACAATCTCTCCCAGAGCAGCTCCTTGGGTGGGGGTGAAGAGGAAGAACATGGAAAAAGAGGGGTGCCAATTTGTAAATACATGAGTAAGCATTCTTTTTAGCTGTCCAGAAATAAATAGCAGAAATTTTGCTCGGGGTAAGGGGCAGTCAGCCTGAGATACAGCAGTCATGCTGTGGAACTTGGACTGCTGGAACTTGGGCATTGAAAGTTAAGATGGCTGGACAAGGTGGTACATGTCTGTAATCCCAGCTTGACGGTCTGAAGCAAGAGGATGGCAAGGTCAGTGCCAGCCTGGAAAACTTAGTAAGACCTGTCTCAAAATAAAAATAAAAAGGGCTGGGCCTGTAGCTCAGTGGTGGAATACCCCTATGTTCAATCTACATTATCACACAAAAAAAGGAGATTAAAATGACCTCAGTCTGTACTGACAGTAGGACAAAGCACAGCTAGGACAACTACACATGTGGACTCTGGGTATCTATGTGTATGTGCATGTGTTAAATGGGCATCTTTTTTAAAAAATGAAGTCCTGCTATATATTATCTTGAATCCACTTTAATTTGTACCAAGGACTTTGAGAATTTTCTTATCATTAGAGCTTCTCTTGAGACCATTTCTGTGCTCAAGGCCTTGGGCAGTGGCTGGAGTTTTGCTACCCACATTCCACTAGGCCTCTCTTCGTCTCTGGAGTCATGACATTATTGGGGCCTGACTTTACTCCTTCCACAGGGGTAAAAGAGGAACCTTAGGAAGCAGGAAGGAAGGTCCACAAGCCCAAGAGCAGGCCACTCAGGGCATCCAATGTCATAGCACTAGTGAGAACAAACCAACCCTGATGACCCCTCCTTCCCCAGACCCTCTCCAGTTTGAGAGACCACGAGGTGAGAGTGTTGGACACTGACTGTGCAAGTCTGTGCAGGGTTGGAACTTGCACCCAAATCTTCTGATTCCCCAAGATCAGTGCTTTTCCACCCCCCAGCCTTGAACCCTCCCCACAAGTAACTGTGGTAGAATAAGTTAATTTATCAAGAAATCACACATTAAAGCCACAAAACCACTTTTATTTAATTGCTACCACAAATACAGAATAGAATTAAGGCAGTAATACATTCCCACTTATCCTGACAAGCTTTTATATGGTAAACTTTGCTTAAAGTGTCAATTTGAATTAACAATTGAAGTTTTTATTAAACAGCAGTTTGTTTGTTTGAATTTTAGAGGAAAAGCAATCCCTGGGTTGTCAAATGTACTGACTCGAGATGACTATAACTTCACACTCTGTGTCAGCTGAACCTCATCCAGGTGTGATGGAACTGACTGGTTTTGGCATCTCTTCCTCCTCACCCCCATCCCCTGCTAGGAGGGTCAGAGGAACAAGGTTTTGAAGAAACACTCATTTTATCTGCCACAGCATACTCCACTCACTTCTGACTAGATTTTGACTTCAAATTCCCCTTTGAATGAAAAAAAAAATGTAAAAACTAATTGTAAAAAAAATCAGGCTGTTTAAAAAAATCTCCAAGATAAAAGGCAGTTATGAATTATAATAATAAAAACATGAGTATAATTGATCCTAGCAACCACAAGTTTGGATTTTAGGAGAAAAGATTAGGTATAAATGTACTTATTTCTGTGAAAATAAATGAAAGAAAATCCTGGCAAACACTAAAAAAAAGGTAAATAACTAAAAATGGTAAAAACATCTCATCATTTCCCTCCATGTTTAACGATAAAAATCAGCACCAGTGTTTGAATTTTCACAAAATATAAATGATTTGGTGTGACTATATATTTCCTTTTACCACTTGATCTCATAGGCATAAACACTTATTTTAATAAGACCTTATCAAATTATAATCTTCAGATATGGATCATATTATGTTACTGGAATTCAGAAAAGAAACTTTCAAGTGCTTGCACTTTATTGTAACTGTTCTTCTGACTGCCATTAAAAGTACAACAAAGAGTTAAAAGCATAAAGCTGTGTAGTCACAATCACTTGACAGAAGTCATCACCAAGATGCACCTTTACCATTGCGCATGCACTCCTCCCCCACCCCTGGGGAATGGGAGAAGAAAGCAGGAACACGGCAGAGGAAATGAGGAATGGGGAGAAAGGGGAAGGGAGTGGGAAAAAATCAAAGTCTAATGTTTCAGGGATCACTGAGGGCCGAAGGTCAACTGCAGGAGGAAAAGAACACTTGGAACAACGGATGTTAAACTGGAGGGAAATTTGATCTCTAGGATAGCAAGCACACACAAACATGCACACTCACACACACTTTTTTAGTGTACATGATATCAAGGAGGAGTATGCCTGAAAGGTGGATGTAGCTTACACCAAGTCTGTGAGTCAGTGTCTGTGTGTGTTTCTGTGTATAGATGTATCTCACTTTGGATTACATACTCAAAACAGACTGGAAAGTGGACCACTGCTTGGCCACCCACAAGTGCACTTTTTACACAGCCATTTCATCAGAATCATCCTCAACATCAATAACTACAACCTCCTGGTAATCATTGGTGGCGGGAGTGACTACAGCAGGGTCAGGAAGGTCAGCAGCAGGGGTAAGCTCCAGCTGGCTGGCAGCAGGCTCAGGGGACACAGCGGTAGGGCTGGAAGCAAACTCTGGGAGGTCAGTGACGTCAGACTCAAGGCGGCTAGTGTCAATGGTCTCAGGGCAGTGGGAGGCAGACAGCTCAGGGTGTCCTGCAGCAGTGGGCTCAGGATGGCTGGTGGTGGCAGGCTCAAGGTAGTCAGCAGTGGTGGACTCAGGGTGGCTGGGAGCAGGCTTGACATGGTCAGTGGTGGCTTCAGGGCGGCTAGTAGCTGGGCTGAAGGCAGACTTGGCGTGGCTGCCAGCAGAGACGTGGTGACCAATGGCAGACTTGGAAGCAGGCTTGAAATGAACAGACTCACCCTTGAAATGGACAGAGGCAGGCTTGAAATAGACAGAGTCAGCCTTGAAGTGGACAGAGGCAGGCTTAGGGTAGACAGTGGCAGACTTGGGGTAACCAGAAGCAGACTTGGAGTGGCCAGAGGCAGCCTTGGAATGGCCAGAAACAGTTTTGTGGTGGATAGAGGCAGATTTGCGGTAGGCAGAGGCAGACCTGGAACGGGGCTTGGGGTGGCTAGAGACACGATCAGGGTGGCCAGCGGCAGCATCACCAGGCAGTGGAACATTCCGGACATTCATCAGGGTTCCCTCCACAGCAGGACAGGCATGGGCACGGTCTTGTTCGCGAGCTTGTTCACGGGCTTGGTCACGAGCGCGGGCACGGGCACGGGCCAGGGCACGGGCCTCCCTCGTCTCACGAATATCAGTGATGATGCCAGAGAGGAACAGGATGGGGTGCCGCATAGCATGGAAGATGGTCCAGTATTCTCGTCGGAAATTCTCATTGAGGAGCCCGTAGATGACAGCGTTGAGGCAGCTGTTGAAGTAGGCTATGAAGTAGGCTGCAAGATAAAGCCAGTTGGGGATCTTGCCTGCCATCTCCTTTGGACTGACAGCCACCAACACAGTGAGCACGTTGATAGGGCACCAGCACACTGCAAAAAGGAGGAAGATCACAAACATGGTTAGAAAATTGCGAACCTCAGCAAGTTGGTTGTCAGGATTCTGTCCAGCTGGGTCACGGGCCGCCAGCACTTTGGTCCAGATTCTGATGTAGCAGAAACCAACTATGAGGAGAGGGAGGACGAAGTGGATGCAGACGATGGTCACAGCGAAGACAGGGTTGCTCAGATAGTTGAAGATGCAGGTGTAAGTGCGAGGATCATACTCGATGGTGCCAATGTACATGTTGGGCAGGACAGCCAGGACGGTCATGATCCAAGTGACAACCAGGTAGATGCAGGTATTGCGCACACTGAAGATCCGTTCATACTGGAGGCTATGGCAGATGTAGCAGTAACGGTTGATAGCGATGGCCACGATGTTGAAGATGGAACCGACCACACTCAGCCCTGTGATGAACCCAACCATCTGGCACTGGAGCTGGCTTAGGTCCCAGCCCCCAATGGACATGGCATGCAGCATCAGAGGGTAGGGGTAGATGGCCACCAGCATGTCAGCCACAGAGAGGCTGACCACAAAGATGTTGCCTGGAAAACATAGGGGAGGGGGGAGAAAAGGGGGGAGACAGAGAATAAATGGTTAAAGTGTGGAAATCTATATATTTAAAGTGGAGGGAAAAGTCAACTGTATTGGTGACAATTTAGAATTGTAGAATTTTCGTTTAAAGAAATACAGTCATGTTTTTATTTTTACAAGCAGGTCTCAGGTGATTCAGATGCACATCCAGGTTTCAGAGACCTGTACTTTGCCCACCTTTTCTCCTTTGAAACAGTGTCATCTCTGCTCTGGGAAAGAAGTGAACATAAGACAGAAAAAGTGAGCACAAAGCATTGTGAGGAGGCAGTCATGGTGAGGCCATTTTAGAGAAAAACAAACTGTAAACTTTTTCCACACCAAGGGAGGGGAGAAAGCCGCTGGAGGGGAGAAGGAGGACAAAGAGTTGTCCTCAGGAAACAAAGAGGGTGGGGCAAGGAGAATGCAGGAGTGTCATGAAGCCCCCACCTGAATAATAATAATAATAATAATAATAATAATAATAATACCACCTCTCCTTTTTCTAGCCTGGCATTGAATTTATAGTGAAAACATCTAAAGGGAATAGTCTGATAAAGGGTGTCACAGACCATTTTCTTAAGCGTTGCTGTTGAAAAAAATCAGACAGGAAACAAACACTAAGCCCAAACACTTACCATTTTCCAGGTAATCTAAGAGAAAAACGTGAGGGAAGGGGTAATGCCCTGTAAAATTAAGTCTGAGACCAAAGAAATTTGAGAGCGGTCGCGGGTGAAGGAAAACCCAGTCCCCGCAAAGAGCGAGTCACTAGCGGGTTCAGCGCCCTGCCCAGGCCCCGGGCTTTACTGAAGCCTGAGGGCTAAACGGGAAAGTGAAAGGGATCCCCCCATTCCCGTTTTGCAGGGTAGAGGTGGGAAGGAAAAATAAAATCTTTAGCAAAAAGGAGCAGAGGCCAAGTGAAGGCGCAGAGCCCTCTTTCTTTGGAAACACCTCATTGCTAATTAGCATTGGTTTGGCAAAATTATTACACTTCGTGGTGGACTGGGAGAAAACAGGGCTTTTTAAAAGGGCAAAGGTATGGCTCCATCAGCCTCCTTCCGCTGTTGCAGCCAAGACTTGGTCTCAGCTCTTTCTACTGAAAAGGTTATTTCTAGGGTTTCCCTCAAAGTAACGAATTTGGGAAAGAAAAGTGGGGAAGACAAACAAAGCTTTAATAACAAAACCACAACAATCATAAAAAAGTTTATTTGAATTATAGAAAGAAAGGAGAGAGAAGGAGAAAAGGAAAGGAAAGAAGAAAAGCAAAGAAAACGGGTTTTGTAAGTGGTTCCCGGGGCTCCGTGAGTCTGCACCTGGAGACTGCACCACTGCCATGAAGGTAAGGTCCAAGTCGCTGCCCCCACGTCTCTGGGATACCAAGGAGAAGTCCGACGCACCCACCAGAGTTTGAAAGGAAACTTTTAATGACTGTGAACATCATTGAATTTTGAAACTTGTGTGTTTTGATCTCCTTGTCCCAGCAAAGTATTTTTCCAGAGTCCAGACCCTCTTCTCCCCGCAGCGCCCCGCCCGCGTGCGTCTGGTAGGTCTGCGACCCCCCCCCCCTTAGACTCCCTAGCTCCCCTCCACCCAAGCCGACAGAGACCTTGGCGGCTGAGACCCTCCCTGGGCACCACCCTCTCCCTCCCCGCCACCAGAGCGCGGAGTTTGGGCTCCTCGCCACTCCCCCTTCCCTCCAGAGCCTTCTCCCGCCTAACCTGAGAACAGGGCTCGCTGCTTCGCAATGTCTGTCGCCCCCACCCACCGCACAAGTTGCCGCATCCAGCATTCACCCACGCTGCCCCACCGCCCCCGGCATCACTCGCCGCTGCCCCGATCCCTCTGTACCCTGCTAGAAGCAAGGGAACTCCCACTCGTCGCTCCCAGACCCTGGCGCTTTGTAGTCTGAGACCCTCACCCTCCCACAGAACTCTCCGAACACTCTGCAGCCGATCCCTCCCTGGTTTTGCTGCCTTATATTCCACCACCCCCGTCCCTGGTGCTGAGACCCAGAACCTCTCCACCGCCACACTCTGCGACCTCCCGTACCCTGCTTACAAACCTCAAGGATCTCCGTGGTGGTCGCCGAAGTCGCTGCCACCACCTGCAGCGCCAGTCAGCCGAACGCCTCTCCCCGCCGCGCGCCCTGGGACGGGCGGACGGAGCTCGGCTCCAGCGGGCTCAGACCTCCAGGCTCGATACTCCGGCACGGGGGTCTGCGCTCCGCCGCCCAGGAGCCGCGCTGGAGCTCCTAGGCTGCGGTGAGCGGGGTCTTGACCGTTCTTGGGCACGGCTGCAGCGTTGCGCTCTGGTCAGCGCCGCCGCGGCCGCCTCGAACTTAACTTTCTCAGGTGCAACGCTGCTGCTCCCTCCGCGTCACTTCAGCCAGAGGTGCCTTGGCGCAGCCACCCCTGTAGTGTCAGGCTCGGCTGGCTGTCCCCGGGCGGCCGCCAGACTTTCCACTCAGGTGCCAACTCTCTCCGTGTCAGATCCTGACCCCACAGAGTTCAGCCAGCTTCCCGCGCACCTCAGGAACCCGGGCTTTGTTCGTAGATGTCCTAAGCTAATTTTATTAACTCCCCCAGCCATAAGAAGAGCTAACTTCGCCGACCCAGGCACATCACCCACCTCACTCCCAGGTTTGGGGAAAATTGGGAGTAGGGGCGTTCAAAGTGAGGGAGTCTTTATTCGGGGCACCCAAACCAACACCCTAGGGGTTGTAAGTTGCAGCACACTGAGTAAGGGTGGAATAATATAGCTTACCAGAATTCCGGAGCTTCTTGTTCTTCGTCACCGCCAAAATGACCATGGAGTTGCCGATCAGGTCAACGACGATGGTGATAACCATCGCGCAGAACATGAAGGTGATCAGAGCCGGTGGGTAGTCAGGTTGAGGCAGATTACAGCCGATACAGCCATAAGGGGTAGGAACCGCCAGGGTAGGCCCCATGTTGCTCATGGAGACCGCTAAGAGATCCCCGCACGCCGGGGAAGCAGCAGCGGTCCGGACCGTAAACACCTGCGCTGTCACCCGGAGCTCCGGGAAAGCGTGGCTACCTCTCCGAGGCTCAGAGAGCAAATGACAGCTTTCTGCCCCTCTCCGATGAGCTTTTAAAGCCTCAAGAGGCAGCTAGCCCCACCCCTAACTCCTCCCCCTGACCAATCAGAACTCCTTGATTACCCCCGCCTTAGTCACCACCTCTTCTTGGACGAATCCACAAAGAGGTGTCATCTTGCTTCCGACTGCCTTGTATGCGCTTCCCCTCTAGCCAGCTTCCCCCTCCCAAATCCCTCAGGTACCTTGCATCGTGACTAGCTCAGAATCCACCTCCCCCTCCCTAACAGTCACTGCTTAGCTGTTTCTAGCCAGTTCTTCTCCCCCCTCCAACACCAACACCTGGCAAAGAGATGTAGATTGCAGAGCGGGGGCACAGGGTCCTGCTTAGGGTCTACTGATAACCCAAGCCTTCCACAGCCTTCTTCGGGTCCTGAGGCAACAGAAGATGGCTCCTTGAATCCTGTAGCCTCACCACTACAGTTTTCTTAACAGGTTAATCCCACTACCAGCACTCTTGCCAGTCCAGAGCCTTCTGCACCCTATGGGGAACAGAGGACGGCCCATGGGGACACCTACTTCAAATAGGGATCCCTACTTTCTAGGGAACTTATCCCTGTTCCAGTCCCTGTCGGGAGTCACTTGGCTCCCTTTGCTGAAGCAGCGATTAAACCGCACCGTCGGGTATCGGTTTTGCGCTCTCCATTAAGAAAGGTACCCTGATCCTTGCTCTGGAAGCGGGCCGTGGGTCTGCAACCTGAGAGTGAGAGGAGGCAGTCAGTGGACATTCGGTCCCTAGCTTTCGAGCAAGCGAGAGCGGGGACCTCATCCCTCCCAGCTGCCGGCACCTGAAGGAGGGAGTTCAGGGGATGCTTTGGGATAAAGTAAAACGGACAAGAAATCCCTTTTCTTCGGCTGCCGCTCTTCCAGAAACGTAAGGCGAGTGGCTCCTGCTTCCTTCCCCTCTCCCGGTGTTCAGCACTTTCTACAGGGTAGTGCAGGCGGTCAGGCTATGCGAGCTGCGCTGCATCTGCGGAAAAGAGAACTGAAGTGCCCCGCGGAGCAGCCAAGTAGACACGGGCAGACCTGTGCCATCCCCCTCCAATCAAGACCTGCTCAGATTTTCTCCCTTGTCATCACCTGCCTGGGGGTCTCTCATTTCGACCCCTTCCATGTCGAGCTAACCCTCACACCGTGGATTTCCCTTCCCAGACATCAGAGTTCTCTGCCTTGCGCCGGATATCTTGAAGTTCACTGGACACCTGAAATCCTAATGTTCTGGCTAAACTAAAGGGGCGCGATTAGGACACTGGCTCCCTCAACAACCTTGGTCTTTGGAGTGGATTTCTGCCAACTACTAAAAGTTACAGCTCTTGTCCGCAACTTCCCCGAGGCCCCGAATCCTCCCAGGAAATTTCTGCGAACACCTTGAAACTTGGTCCATACCAGACCTCTTGCTGCAGTTGGGGAGAGGGGTTGCACTTGGCGGGAGCGCCACCATCTGGACACAACAGCCCCCGTGCCCCGGGTAAGGTTGGGACCCACGTAGGTAGGGGGGTGGTCAGAGGACCGATTCCGCAATGGATTTCATCATTGAGGCTTTTAACCGGGGGAGGGGGGGAACACTGCTGAAACCTAAAATTTCAATTTCTTGAGCTAAAAAGCCCTAAGTGAAAATGTGTTCCCTTGCTTAAAGGTGAAGCTCCCTCACCCATCCTGTGCTCACTATCAAGAGCAGGAATCCGCGCGGATTAAACAATCTCCTGCCGGGAGCCTTTTCACATTCATTATCTCATTGCTCCTCTAGGCTGCAACCCTGGCCGCTTGCTCTCGCACAGCTGGACTCAGCCAGGATTTTCCCATAAAGGCGGCCCAAGAACAGCTCTGCTGTCCTCCATACCCTGCTGTGTGCCTGGAGAAGAGGCCAGCAGCCAAAAGCCAGTCCATATCATGGAGTATTTAGTAGGACCCACGTTAAGTTGTTCATACTGATTTCCCGAGGGTTTGAATACCTTTCACTTGTGAGAGGGAGCAGTTTTGAATTCAAATAATCAAAATTAAATTGAAGAGAAAAAAAGGAAACAAGCATTCCACTAACTTAAGACACTTGATCACTAACTTAAGACACTTGCACATCAGGGATATATTTTCTCCCAAGCATACTTGTAAGGAGCGATTGCAAACTATTACAAGCATTTTAATACTCCCATATGATGTACTTCTGAGCTGAAGTAGCCCTAGAGCTGGGAGAGTCCCCTGGTACAGAGAGCTACGTGTAGATGTACTTTGGATTTCCTGGCATTTAGGAGTAGAGGGGAAAAAGAGAGTGAAATGACCCTCTACCCTGTACCCCTGTTTGGACACTACTTGACTATGACATCTTGGGACTTCAATTTTGCAGTACTGAGATGCCAATGTTTTAATAACCTAAAGGGAAAGAATTATGTATCTGTTTAAATTAATTTTCTTATTTTGAGGGGGAGGTTGGTACCAGGGATTGAACTCAGAGACATTCAACCAATGAGCCACATCCCCAGCCCTTGTTTGTATTTTATTTAGAAACAAGATCTCTCTGAATTACTTAGTGCCTCGCCATTGCTGAGCCTGGGTGATCCTCTGTCTGAGCCACTGGGATTACAGGCACACGCCACTGAGCCTGGCAATTTTCTTATTTTTATGAACTCTAAACATTATCTGAGCACTAAATAAAACAGATGGATATTGAATCAGTCATCTGGAAATATAAGGGAGAGAATCGGGCCCTGTTTGAGAGGGTGGGTCAAATCTTATGTGCAATAAACTCAATTGCTTTGCAACAGTTAAAGGGGAGCCCTTTATCGGGTATACAGCAGAGTGTATAGTTTAAGATTTTAAAGGTTTTTAAATTCTCTTTCTAAAAGGCCTTCTAGGAAGCCAAACTGGAGTAGACAGCTATTATGATATAGAATCAAAATACAGAACAAAGATATTCCCAGAGGAATGAGAAAACAAATGGCATTTTCAGCTCAGGAATGGGTGACCTATCTGTGCACATGAGGATGGTGCCTGCAACTTCCGAGGCCTGAAGGGCAGCAATGGTGGAAGGTTGTCTTTCATCAGGTCTTCTAGGTTCTCAATTAACCCTTAAGCACTGTAATAATACCTTGCCTGTAATTAGTGAGTGTAGTTTTACTTTTTGTTTGTTTGTTTGCTTGTTTATTGTTAGTACAAGGGAGTGAATCTAGGGGGTGCTTTAGCTACTCAGCCACATCCCAAGCCCTTTTTATTTTTTTATATATTTTTTTATTTTTTATAATTAAAATTTGTTATATATGACAACAGGATGCATTGCAATTCATATTACACATATAGAGCACAATTTTTCATATCTCTGGTTGTAATTATATTTTATTTTGAGGCAGGAATTCACTGAGTTTCTTAGGGCCTCACTAAGTTGCTGAGGCTGGCTTTAAACATGCAATCCCCCTGCCACAGCCTCCCGAGACACTGGGAGTGTGCCACCATGCCCAGCTGATTAGTGAGTATTGTTTTAAATAAGCATTTTATTGTTTTCTAAAGCTCATCAGGGATATATTTTCTCCCAACAATATCATTAAACAGACAGGGAACCTGAGGCCTAAAGAGGTAAAAGAACTTGCCCACGGTCATGCCAAGTCTATTGGAGGAGCCCAGATTTAGATTCAGGTTCAATTTCTGCTCAGCCTTGAGCCTTTCTCCTGCAGCCCAGCTTCATAAGATAGTGTTTTTCTCTGGGACTTGATCAGGTAAGTATTGCATTCTTATTTTTGCTTTTCAGTTGCTGTTTGCTGTTACTGAGATGTAACTCCCATACCATAACAATCACCTTTTAAATTGTACATTTCAGTCATGTTTTTGTTTATTCACAGAGTTATGCACCTGACTACTAATTTCAGAACTTTTCCATACCCCCCAAAGAAACCCCAGAACAATCAGTATCCCCTCCCCACTCCCCTCCAGCCGTCTCCCACCTCCTAAAAATCACAAATCTGCTTTTTGTCTCTGTGGATTTGCTTATATTTACATTTCATATAAATGAAACCATACAATATGAGGTGTTTTATGTCTGACTTCCTTCCCTTATCATGTTTAAGGGTCCACTGATGTAGTAGCATAGATCTCACTCCTACTAAATAATACTCCATTACAGAGATAGACCACCTATTATTTATCTATTCATCCATTGATGGACACTTGAATTCTTTACACCTTTTCATTATTATGAGGAATGTTGCTAGGAACATTTTCTCTTTTAGCCTCAAGCGGCCCTGGCTTGTGAGAGAAAGTGGATTGCCTCCTAAACCTGCTACTGCTCTCCCCATTTCAGACACTCCAACCTCCTCTGGCCAATGTTTCTCTGGAAGTACTGAATCACTTGCTAAAGTTACATTACACTATCGGATGATGTTCTAATGTATAAAACTGACAAGATGAGGACAGGAGTTCCTTGGGATATCAGAGACTGTATTCAATGGGCTCAGGCCCCAAGATCTGTTGCCTCTAGACTCTAATTCCTGGGCAATCTGCAGCATCAGAGACCATCATGAGTGTGGGACATACAAACTGACTTTCTTTTTCACTGCCCATCTCACCCAGATTAGTCCCTGAACTGACACATGCCATGTCTTTTCCACAAGAAAGATGAAGCTGAACTCTCAGCATCAGAAGGAAAGTGTGGAGGCTGGCTGGTCCACAGACCAATCAGACCCCACATCTATAAGCAGGGAAGCTGGGTATTATCAGAGCAAGGGCCAGTCTAAGCTAAGGAAGGTCTGGCTTCCAGGTAGACTCAAGGAGTAAGGTTGAAGCCTCAAAGGAGTGAGCAGGGATTTAAGCAGGAATCAAATCACTGGAAATAAAAGCCAGTCAGGTCATAA